CGGTAGGCAGCTACTCCCCACTCCCCACCACCACCACCACCACCACCACCACCCCCTCCCCAACCCCCAACCCCAACCCCACACTCACCCCCCCAACCCCCAACCCCCCTTCGCCCACACATGCAGGCGTACCGCAAGGGCGCCCTCAAGTATCACCCCGACAAGAACCCGTCACCCGAGGCCGAGACCAAGTTCAAGGAGATCTCGGCGGCTTACGAGGTGCTGTCGGACGCCGAGAAGCGCTCATACTATGATGCCACCGGTCGGCTGCCTGGTGATGATGGCCCGCCGCCGCAGCCTTCGACAACTGGTGGTAGACCCGCTGCGTCGTTCTTCGCCTCGGGATCTGGTCCGGGCCCAATGCCGCCCACTGGCTTCTCTGATCCATTTGATCTGTTTGAACAGGTCTTTGGCGGCGATGTCTTTGCCGCCATGGGCGTGTCCCACCCGCCTGCCGCCCCTCGTACCACCTACTCCCACACATCGTCGACGACCACGTCGTCGTCGCCCATGCCGTCACACTCTGATCCGTTTGCCAACTTTGGCACCATTTTCGGCGGTCCTCCGTTTGCTGGCGGCGGCTTTGGCGGCGGCGGCTTTGGCGGCGGTGGCTTTGGCGGCGGTGGCTTTGGCGGCGGTGGCTTTGGCGGCGGTGGCTTTGGCGGTGGTGGCTTTGGCGGTGGTGGCTTTGGCGGCGGTGGCTTTGGCGCTCCACTCGCCTCGTCGTCATCGTTCTCGTCGTCTACAACCGGCGGCGGCCGCTCGGTCTCATCCACCAGCCAGACCATCAATGGCCGGACGACCAAGACAACCACCATCGTTGAGAATGGCCAGACAACCGTCATCACCGAGGCTGACGGCGTTCGCACCACCTTTATCGACGGTGAGGCCGTCTCTTCAGAGGCGATATCGAGCCTTCCTTCTTCTTCCTCTCTTGCCACCGCCTCCAACTCCTCGAACATGCCTTCTGGCTTTTCGTCGTTCTTCGGCTGATCTCTCGCCTACCCCGGCATGCCTCCGCTCCGTCTGCCACTCCAAGCTCCTGGCCAAGGCTTTCCGATTGTCAACCGGTCCCCACCCCATCGAGCTCTGCAGCTGAATCCAACTCCCTCCAACAACACACCGTCTCGCTGTCGACCCGCTTTATGTAGTAGCGTGAGAGAGCCGAGCTAAACCACCTTTCTCGCCAGCACAGACGCTGCAAGCAGACCAAGCCCGCGCGCACTCCCACTTGCACGCAGCGACGACTCGGACCCCGCCGCCAGCTCGGGCAACGCGTCCATCGAGCCAGCCTGTGACGAGCTGGCTGTCTCGCCATGGCTCGCGGTGTTGGCTTCCGACGCCGGAAGCGGCGGAAGACCAAACACGTTGTCGGCCGCCAGCGGGTCCACCGCCTCCCACCCGTCGAGCTCCACGTCCGTCCGTCCGTCGAGCACCGCGTCGGTCCGATGAAATCTAGCCAAGCGCGCGCTCGTCGCCGCCCTTATCTCAGCCTCGCTCAGCACCTGCTTGGCCCGCCCACTCATCGGTGGCGTCGGCTCATGCATTCGCTGCTCTCTGTCTCCTTGACCTCCGGCCTCCTCCTCCACAATCACCAACCGCATGCCGCGACGTGGCCGCTTTGCTCCGGGATTGCGAACTCTGGCCCGGACCCGCCGCCGCCGCTGCTGCTTGGCCTTGCGGGCATCGAGGCCTGCCACCTTTCCCGCCGCATCAGACTCGTCTGGACTGGCCGGGCCAGCCGCGGGCGCAGCCATAAACGGCTTGGCCTCGTATGGGTAGACCTTGACGCCCGCCACCACCTCCTCGGGCGCCACAATAGGAATCGGGAGCACTCCGCGGGATCCACGCATGATCCGCGGCCCATTCCGGACAGTGCGCTCGCGATGAATCCCGGCGACAACTTCGATGAGGTGCGCGAGCTCGTGCATGCCCCGTGTGCGTGCACTCTCGGCTGGCGTCTCGCCGGTCCCCGCCACCTGAACTCGCGCTGATGCCGGCTCGCGGCCACATGAGAGCAACGCGTACGCAACACGCAGCGCGTCGTCCTCATCGCAACCGGCGCCGGCAACGTGAAGCGCGGTCTCGCCAGAGTTGTTCGTCGCGTTGACCGCCACCTGCTCTTGCGCAAGGAGCAGCTCGACCACTGCAAGCGCACCGGCTCGCACAGCGGCATGTAGCGGCGTGTTGCCGGCGTCATCAACGCCGCTCACGTCGACCCCAAGCCGCGAGACCAGGATCCTGACTACCTCGAGGTGACCGGCGGCAGCAGCCAGCGCTAGCGGCGTCTGCCCGTTTCGGTCGCGCCCGTCTGGGTTCGGCCGGTTCTCAGCCTGCATCATCATCGACAGCGCCTCGGTCGAGCCCGCTGCCGCCGCGTAGTGGATTGGCGTCCTCCCGCTAGCGTCCAGCACCTCCAGCGATGCGCCGGCCCCGAGCGCATCCAGGTACACCCGAAGGACGCGTGTCGACTGAGACGGAGCTGCTGCAGCTTCATGCAATGGGGTCCGCTCCTGGTCATCGCGCTGCAGCGGATGCCCACCTGCATCCAGTAGAAGTCGTGCCACGTCTGCCCGAGACAGCTGTGCTGCGTGGTGCTGCGGCGCCCGCCCGCTGGCGTCGCCAGCCACCACAGCCGCATCCGCCGAGGGGCTCGCAAGAAGACGAGAAACCACCTCAGGGTGATCATACTTGGCAGCGAGATGGAGCGGGGTCGCCCCGTCGACGTTCGTCGCCAACACGCTCGCTTTGGCCTTGAGCAAAATCTCGACCGGGCCAATCCGACCGTACTTGGCCGCCAGATGCAGGGGAGTTGCGCCGCGTCCATTGCGGACCTCGACGTCTGCACCGTGCTCAAGGAGAGCAGTGACAACCCGGCCTTGCTGTGGCAGCACGGGTGACTCGGGCGAGATGATGGTCAGCGGTAGCTCCGAGCTCGTCGCCTGCACAGCCGCGTAGTGGAGCGGCGCAAAGCCGCGACCGTCGCGCCCGTTGACATCCGGCCGGTACCGCCGCATGACAAACGGCACCATGTCGACGGCGTCGAGTCGCGCCACCGCGTGAAGCCCGTTGCCCCGCGACGAACCCCAGCCAAAGCGGCGGACAAAGACTTCGACCACATCCTCGCGCCCGCACACCAGTGCCATGTCCCGCGGACTGAGGCCTGCCCCGTCCTTGATCTCCATAGCCAGGCTCGCACCCGGCGCAGTCACCACCTCTTCCACCACCGCAAGCCTGGCATGCCGTGCAGCAGTGTGGAGCACCGTGTGTTCGGCCCGCTCGGTGAGTGCAGTCACGTCGGCACCCAGCCGCAGCAATACGCTCGTCGGGCGAGTCGACAACTCAGCTGCCACCGCCACGTGCAGCGGCGTCCAGCCGTTGCTATCGCGGCTTGCCAGCGTCGCCTCCATCCACGTCAGCAGGAGCTCGATCAGCGCCACAGAGCAGTTGCTCGAACGCGCCGCCACGTGCAGCAGTGAGCTCATCCCGCGGGGCGCAAGGCAGTTGGTCTGCCCGCTTCGACCGAGTCCAGTTACACTCTCGTCGCCACCTCCTGCGCCGCCGCCGCCGCCGTCAACTGCCGACACCGAGTCGTCGCCGAGTGTCTCGCCTAGCTCCGATGTTCCACCTGCGGTGGAGGGGCGGCCACAGTCGTGCGAGCCGTACTCTTTGAGAAGCGCAAGCGCGGCGCCGACCCGTCCGCCCCACACTGCATAGGCCAGTGGCGACCACTTCTGCATGCCGTTCGGCCCAATCTCGTCGTCGTTGATAGAAACGTCGCCGCAGGCGGAGCCACTCGGCACCGGGGATCTTGCCGAGCGGCTGATCGAGACCGCCGGCGACGGCGATCGGGCCGAGAGCAGGTCGCACGGCAATGTCGGCAAGCTGGCGCCACCAGCTCGCGCCAACAGCGGCGAGAACTGCGGCGGGCACGACATCGGCATCTTGCCGCGGTATCCGCTAGTCATTCGCTGGGCGCCAATGACTCTGCTAACAATGATGCCGTCGCCGCCGAGCGCAGCTGCATGAAGCGAGATCGGTGTGAGCGACGACCGGTGCATGAGCAGCTCACTGGTGCGGCGCGCCCGCGAGAGCAGAGCAAGATCAAGCGCCGATGGGGTGAGGGGGAAGGTGACGCCTGCAGTGTCAAGCAGGACTTCCAGCAGGGCAAGATTGTCGGCAGCGCTTGCGGCGTGGATTGGCGTGTAGCTCGTTGCGTTGGGCGCCATGGCCGAAGCGCCGTGGGCAAGAAGAACCTCGGCCACCTCGACATTAGCGTAGTGAAGCGGCGAGTTGCCGCCGGCGTCCAGTGCGCCGACGTCGACCAGCCCGGAGAGGAGCAGCTCGACAACGTCGACGGCGTTGAGCGCAGCAGCGTAGTGAAGCGGGCTGTGACCGAGCTCGTCAGCGGCAGTTACAGGGGCGCCGGCGTCGACCAGCGTCCGCACCAGCTCAACCGCGTCGGCCCGTGACGCAAATGGTGCACCGACCCGAAGTATCGCTCGGACGAGAACGGTCCGTCCGAGCTCATCGGTCTCGTCCAATGAGGCCATGCGGTCCTCGAGCTGCTCACGGAGGACGCCAATGTTGTTCCGCGACGCTGCGGCGTCGTAGACGTTGATGGGCTTGGAGTCACCAAGCTGAGTGCGGACCGCGACAAGGCCGATCGAGGTGGCCAGACCGAGGGAAACGGCCCGCGACGGCGCGCCGCAATAGAGCTGCCGCGCCCGGAACCCGCGCCAGGCGGCCTGAACACGGACGGCGGCCTGCTCGGCAGTCTCCGCCTCGGCTCCTCCCGCGTCTCCGGTGAGAATGCTGACAATGCGTGCACCGGCCGGATGGCCGCTGGCCGCAAGTTGGTCGGCACGTTCGCGAGCCGAGATGCCGGAGCCGTCCAGCTTGGTGGCGTCGGCGCCGACGGCCACAAGCCCGGCAACAGCTGCGGCATTGCCAGCAGCCACCGCGATGTGCAGCGGTGTGGCACCGGTTGCGTCAGTGGTATCCGGGGCGAGGCCGCTGGAGACAAGGGCGTGGATGATGGCACGCGACGACTTGGTCGCAGCCGCGGCGGCGTGGAGCGCGGTGTGCTCCGACGGCGACGAGACGTTAGCAATGTGCGGGTGCTTGGCGAGCATGTAGTGCACGGCATCGGCATGACCCGAGTGCGCGGCGTGGTGGAGCGCGGTGTGCCCGAGTCCGTCATGGAGCTCGGGATCGGCACCCAGCCGAATGAGGGCGAGGGCAACTGCCGGTGGGCCCGTTGCAAGCGCATGCTGCAACGGGCTCCGCCGTGAGCCTGGGTTCTCGTCGAGCGCGTTGAGACATTCAGGCTCGGCCTTGGCGAGCACTTTGCAGGCCTCGATGTTGCCTGCAGCGGCAGCGTAGTGGATAGGGAGCAGGCCATCAGTGTCGGGGCGCGCCGAGTCAGCCGCGTGCGGGCCCGCGGAAAGAAGCTCGATGAGTATCTGCGTGGCACCGACAGCGGCGGCGCGATGGACAGCGGTCGGCGCCGTGGCGCCCATACCCAGCAGGAGACAGGTGGTGGTCAAGTGGTTGGCATTGATTGCCTCCAGCAGCGCATTCGAGAGCGCCGTGGCCTTGCGCGTATCGGTACGTGGTGGCTCCCGGGCCTCGTACAGTGTGTCGAGCGTGGCGATCCACTCGTCTTTGCCCAGCGCAGCCGCCGAGGAGAAGAGCGGAAGCATGTCAGCTCGCGACGGGACGAGCAGATTGAACAGCTGGAACGTGCCGCCCAGCAAGCTCTCAGAGCCAAGAAGATCCAGTGCGAGATGCAGCGACGAGGTGGTGACAAAGCGAGGCACGGCGGTGATGAGGACTCTGGCGGAGGCAACAACGTCAGCGCCGCGGGTATGGGCCTCGCCGGCGCCGAGCACAGCCAGATCAAGTGGCGAAAGATCTGTGTAGAGCCCCGAGGCTTCGACCATGGTGACAAGACCATGCGGCCCGCCGAGGATCTCGATGAGCTCGTCGGAGACCATGGAGCGGGCGGCAGCGTGGTGGATGAGCGAGAAGCCGTCCGAGTCGAGAGCTTTTGTCGCGTCGCGCCCGATGATATCGAAGAGAAGGGAGAGGATACGGACGTGCCCATTGGCAGCAGCGAGGAAGAGATGCGACTCGTTCGGCGGGTCGCATATCATTGGCTCTACAGTGACAAGCGCGGTGACAACGTCCAGTGCGCCAGCAGTGACTGCCGTGGCAAGCACCGAGTGATTGGTCGATGGGTGGGTCTCCGCCAAAGCGGCGGCTCGAGCCTCTGGCGTCGGGACGTGCTCAAGAAGAGCAAAGAGACCTTCGCGTGAGTCAATGGCGGCGGCAGTATGAAGCGCGGTCCCAGCGAGTGTCGACTGCACAAGCACGTTGACCGCTGGACAGGAGGCAAGAGCGTGCAGGGCGGGCATGTTGCACGATGCGACCGCAGTGTGAAGCGGAGTAAACGACGAGCGCGAATCGATGACGTTCGGGTTGGCGCCGGTTGCGAGCAGCAGCTCGAGCGAGGCCAGCGAGGCTGGCGACGACGCCGCGAGGTGGATGAGCAGCGGCGAGGTGGCGTTGACCGATGGCGTCGGGTACGAGGTGAGGAGCAGCGCGAGAGCAGCTGACGAGCCGACAAGCACAGCCTCGTGGGCGGCGAGCCAGGTCATGCCCTCGCGCGGGGGTGATGCAGCGCCGGCAGCAATGAGCGCGTCGAGAGCCGACACATTTCCCGCCCGAGCAGCAACATGCAGCGGGCTCAGCGGCGGGTTCGAGTCCGAGAGGGCGTTGACGTCAGCCCCGGCCGCGACCAACGTCCGCACGCTTGCTGACGTCCCGGCGAGTGCAGTGTGATGCAATGGCGTGAGCCCGTGATGATCGCAGACAGCAAGCGCCTCCGCCTTGACTTTTGCCTTTGCCAGCAGCTGCAGCAGCGCGCCCAAGACCTTGTCGGCGCCATGGTAGCTTGCCTGTGCAGCTGCGTGGAGCGGGGAGAGCCCCTGCTGCGCGCCACAGCCATTGCCATCAGCCATCATGACCTCCCACAGCAAGTCGATGTCGTGCGCCTGCAAAAGCAGCTTCGCCATGGCCATCTTCTCTGCAGCCACACCACTGCCCGAAACCGATGACGAGGGGCTGCCAGCGACGAGCGATGAGCCCGCATCGGCCGACGAGCCCGTGTCGGCTTGGCTGGTACCGGACTTGTTCGCCAGCAGCGTGTCACCCACCGAACGAATGGATGACGATGATGCCTCAATTGTTGTTGCTGCAGTTGTTGCTGTTATCGGTGCAGTTGTTGGCTGTGTTGTGGTGATGTGCGACTCGGTGTCAATTGCGGTGGTGGGGTCTTGGTGGTCTTGCCGGCGGCTGCCTGCGACTGGTGGAGGACATGGATGGCTGTGGAGGACTGGGGTGGTTCTGTGGAGAACAATGCTATAAGTGCATACACAACCTCATCCTTGCTTGCTTTGCTTGCTTCTCTCTCTACTTGTTCTGCTTTTCCGCTCACCGCTGCCATGCGGAGCGACGCCATGCTGCCCGAGAGAGGTTGTCCCGCTGGGCGCCGTGCAATTAATCGTTGCCCCGAACGTCGGGTTAATCGTTGGCGCGCCGTGCAATTAATCGTTGCCCCGAACGTCGGGTTAATCGTTGGCGTGAACGTGGGGTTAATCGTTGCCCTGAACGTGGCGTTAATCGTTGCCCTGAACCTAGCGTTAATCGTTGCCCTGAACGTCGGGTTAATCGTTGGCGTGAACGTGGGGTTTACCAGTTGCGGATGAATCGTCGGTGCCTGGCGCTCCAGTGCGCTGTAGCAGACGGGATATGCATCAGATGTCGACAATGTGGCGCAGATCGGCTAGAGCGTCTAGCGGCGAGTCGTAGTAGGCGATGGCGACGGCGCAGCCGCTCACCAACACGGCAAGGACCACGGTTTGGATGACGGCGACGACGGTAACCTCGTTCTCGTCTTCGCTACGGCCCCCACTTGCGCCCCCGCACCCGTCGACACTGGAGGAGGCGCCGGCTCCAGACTGATGTTGCTCGTACGCCTCGTGCCAAAGAGCAGCTTCGTTGGGTGGCAGAGCCGGCGGCGCAATCGAGCCATCGGCAGCTGCTTCAACCAGGTCGGGAAAGGTCTCGACAAAGACAGGATCTTTGCGGTTAAATGTCATGGAGCGCGCAGCGAGGCGGCGGCGATCAGCAGGCGAACGCGAGACAGAACCGTGCGTCGGAGTCTCCTCAACCATAAACGAGAGCAAGCCCGAGAGAATGGACGAGACGGACCAGAGCGGGTTCCACGACTCGGGGTGAAAGTCGCTCATCGAGAGACACAGCCGCGAGTTGACCTGGAATCGGCCCGATGGCGTGATCATGTAGATGGCCGGGGGACCATTGGGGTAGTTCTGTGGGAAGACAAGCTTGCCAAAGTAGACTCCACCCGCATAGGGCGTGCCACTCGGTCCAAACAGGGCATAGTACCAGATGTAGACCGATTTGCTCGACGGGGCAGCAAGGATCGATGACACCGGGTTCTTCAGCAGCCGCTTGTACTCGCGCTGCAACCGGAGCTGTACTCGCACCTCGGCACCCAGTCATTGACATAGTTAATCACGGCCACCAAATGCCCGTGTCCCACCACCACACCATACCAGCCGACCAGAGCCACGATCACCATGCCCGCACAAGACAATCACCCGACCACAATCACAACCAGACAACCACGACCACGATCACCATGGCCACACAAGACAATCACCCGACCACAATCACAACCAGACAACCACGACCACGATCACCATGGCCACACAAGACAATCACCCGACCACAATCACAACCAGACAACCACGACCACGATCACCATGGCCACGCAAGACAATCACCCGACCACAATCACAACCAGACAACCACGACCACGATCACCATGCCCGCACAAGACAATCACCCGACCACAATCACAACCAGACAACCACGACCATGATCACCATGGCCACACAAGACAATCACCCGACCACAATCACAACCAGACAACCACGACCACGATCACCATGCCCGCACAAGACGAACACCCGACCACAATCACAACCAGACAACCACGACCATGATCACCATGGCCACACAAGACAATCACCCGACCACAATCACAACCAGACAACCACGACCACGATCACCATGTCCGTACAAGACGAACACCCGACCACAATCACAACCAGACAACCACGACCACGATCACCATGCCCACACAAGACGAACACCCGACCACAATCACAACCAGACAACCACGACGATCACCATGTCCGTACAAGACGAACACCCGACCACAATCACAACCAGACAACCACGACCACGATCACCATGCCCACACAAGACAATCACCCGACCACAATCACAACCAGACAACCACGACCACGATCACCATGCCCACACAAGACGAACACCCGACCACAATCACAACCAGACAACCACGACGATCACCATGTCCGTACAAGACGAACACCCGACCACAATCACCACACCACCCCACACAGCCAACCAACCACGCCGACCACAACCATGCAGGTATTCCCCCAACCCATGCATGCTCCACACCAATGTGAGTTCCCTGCCAACCATCCCTCCTGTCCTCACCTCGCATGGCCTCCGTACCACTCCTTGCGTGTTGGGCATGGTCGAGTCAGGTAGCCCCGGCTCCCGACTCGAATTGAAACCGGGTCGACCTGGTCGACGGCTGTGCTGGTCCATCGATCATGATGATCACAATCAGCCAGAGCCGCATCAGCCTGTCGCACCAACACCCAGTCAGGTGACCTATGTAACCATATGCAAAACTTATTATGGGTGCTGTGCACAAGGTATGGACAAAGTGGGTAACGTGTCGATGTATTAAATGTGATATCTGTGCATGAGCAGAAAAGTGCATTTGATCACAGATCATGCATTTTGTCATCCACATCCTTCACCACATGCAGACACTCACACGCACATACATGCTATCTTTCATCCCGTACCACCCACATGCACCCAGTACACCACCCTCACCACTTAATTGCAGACAATGCACGACCTTCTCCTCTCATCCCTCATCTCACCCCGGCCAACCATTAATATGCAAATTGATCAAACACCCCTCTCTGCTCGCCACCACCACTTGACCCCGCTCCTCATGGCAGCCAGCAACGAGAAGAAGGAGGTAGAGGTGAGCAAGCTCAAGGAATGGAGCGGACGTGGAGAGCGGCTTACGTCGACGTACTTTTTGACAAGTTTTCTGTGGCGGAAAAGGCTATGGGCGTGACCCATGAGCTTGGGACAGAGCCCGTGTGCTACGACGCAAAGTTGATGGCCATCATCGTATCGTCTTCCTTTGATCAGATCAACTTCATGAAGCTCCGTGGTCGGCCAGAGAATGCTGCTACATGTGGTGCTGTATTTGATGGCGATGGTTGTTTTCACATTGGCCAGGACCAGGATCAGACGCAGAACATCTCCATCGAGCGGGTCGGTGTCTACGAGTACGAGGTCGATGGGGACATTGTTCCGCTCATCGCTGTCCGTTACATCCACGCAAAGCGGGAGAACGCCATGAACTGTCTTGATGCCATCTCTATGGCCATGGATCGCTCAGAACTGGGCGTCTCCTCTACCGTCATCTCGGCCAACGCCGTCGAGCACATGGCTGCGTGGCTGGCCGCTAACGGCACCCAGCTCAGCGACGAGTCACGTGCTGCCATCCGCGGTGACGCATATGGTCCGTGGAAGGCATCGTTCATTGTTCCGGCGTACCATGACGGCACTGATGGTGTGCCAGATCCCGAGGCTCTCGCGCTGTGCAAGGTGTGCGGGAAGGGTGAGTCGCGTTCGCGCTGCTCTCGGTGCAAGGCGGTTGTCTACTGCTCGCGCAGCTGCCAGAAGATCGACTGGAAGGCGCACAAGCAAGTCTGCGTCCCGATCAGCACTAACGTGTTCTCTGTTCAACTCGACAAGCTCGAGCAGAAGCACATCTGGAGCACCCCATTCAACGTCCCGATTGACAAGATTGGCAAGAGCATGGAAACGCCACTCAAGAATGGCTCTGTACCTACCAACCTCACCGGCCGCAAGCTCATCTTCAAGGTTCAGCTGCCCATCGACTGGAAGGAGTCCGGCAACGTGCTTCTTAACATCTACGACGAGACCCGGTCCATCGGCACCCTTGCCTCCGTGGAAAGCTTTGTCGATCCGGCCAAGTTCGACGATCTCGTCGCCTTGATGGAGACCTCGCCGTGGGCCGAGGACTCCAAGGCTTACCTGTACGGCTACGCGACAACCAGCAAGCTCTCGCTCGTGCTCGACAGTCTTGCACCGGCACAGACATGGTGAAGCATGTACATGCTCTTTGTTCATTCAGCAGTGGCTGGCGCGAGCCGCAGCTTTTTCAGCTCCTCGTTCGTCTTGGCTGCCCGGATGGTGCCCAAGATCTGCAGTGCGGTCACCGCCGCAAGCATGATGCCGACACACGACTGAACGACGCCTTGCTGGTGATTGCGTGGAACGTTGGGGAAGACCACTAGGCAGAGAACGAGCGGAATGATCACCGCCACCGCAAACAGCGGCAGCGCCGTGATAAACAGCGCCATCCACCGCAGCGCGGACTTTTTCTTGGTCTCCTGCGCGAGTACCTTGGCCCGCGCCACAAACTTCTTTGTGTCACGCTCGATCGACTTGGTCCGCAGTACAAGGAGCATAAACAGCGACGGGAGGAGGAGCACCACCATGAGCGGCGGGAGGAGGACTGGTGCAAAAATGGCAACAGAAAGCACCCACGGCAGGTAGACATAGACCACTGCGTTGCGGCCCCGCAGTAGTTCGGGGGATTTCGACGGCATCACCGTCAGCATCGCCTTGCCGATCCCATTGAATGCGTTCTCCATGTTGGCGTAGATGTTGTCGATCTTTTCCTTTCGCTTGCGCTTCGCCTCGGCCTTGCGCTGCTTCTTGGCCTCCTTGGCAGCCCGCTTTGCCTCGCGCTTGCGCCGCTTGTCCGCCAAGCGCTCCTCCCGCTCGCGCCGTCTACGCTCTCCTTCAGTCTCGGCCACCTCACCGCCAGCCACGTCCAACAGTCCCCCGGCGGGAAAGGCTGCCGGGACCGAGCTGATGTCTGCCACCGGCGCCGCGCCGACTTCAGAGTCGGACTCGGCCGACACTGCGTCGTCATCGGCAGATGCAGACGACGAAGCAGACTCCGACATAGACGCGGGCGCGATCTTGGGAATAGGTATGATCTCAGGCTCGAGCTCCTTGGCCAGGTCACGCTTCTTGGGCGCCTCTTTCCGTTTTGACAGCTTTGCCGCCGGAGCAGCCCTCTTCTTCTTCTTGCGCGCCGACGACGGCGGCATTGATCTGCCACTAGCGTGGCCGCCTCGCCCGCCACCCGAAGGCGCCCGCGCCGCCACCGACTTTGACGCCCGAGCGGGCATCGGTGCAAGCGATGAGATATCGTTCAGTGCAACCGGCTCGGCGCAGATCTCGGCCTCGATCATCCCGTCGTCAGCCATCTGCAGATCGTTCAGTGCCACAAACTCGTCTTCGTCCTCCTCGTCAAAGAAGGCACTCTGCTTCATAGCGGGTATGGGACCCATCGAGCGATCATCCAGCAGCGCTGACGACGACGCCCGGGCTGGCGCTGCGCCAAAAGTATCAAGATCAGACATAGGCGGCATCACTGCGGACTGCATGGATGCCGACGGAGCCGACAGCGCTGACGGGGCCGATGGCGGCGGAGGGGGGCCGATCGCGGCCGGCTGCGACAAGGCTGGTGGCGGCGGTGCCGGGGCGAGTGAAGTTGACGGTGGTGTCGCTGGTGCAATCGCAGACAGGCTTGACCGTCGTGAACTACTCTGAATGTCTCGTGACAGTGGTTCCGGAGGCGCCGCCGGCTGGACTGGGAGTGCCGCCCGTGACCTCTTCGCTCGACCGCCCTTGGTGACACTACCTGCCCTGCGTGCACCACCAGGTGCTGCTGTCGATCGCGGTGTGAACACAACCTGTTTGCGGTACGAGTCTTCGATGGTCGGGTCGTACTCATCCACAAAATGGTTGGAGACGTACTGCACAGTGAGTGCCGACTTGCCGACGCCGCCGTCCCCGCAGATCACGATCTTGACCTCGAACGAACCTTGGCAGTACGGCGTGTTCTCGGCAGCGGCAGAGATGGCGGTAGAGAACAGGTCGTCGACGCCGAGGCGGGTCTTGGCAGACGTGAAAACGAGCGGGGCGTTGAACTCGGTAGCCAGCGCCACCGCTTCGGCATCCGCAAAGACCCGGTCGCTCTCGAGGTCCATCTTGTTGCAGGCGACAACAAGCGGCAGGTTTCTGATGGCATCGTCACGGACACGTGCAATGCTCTCTGCTATCTCGCGGAGACACTCTAGCGAGCCCCGCGAGGTGATCGAGCAGACCAAGATGAGAACATGCGCGTTTCTGCGGGCGTTGTCGTGCATGGCGGAGAACTCGACCTGGCCGGCTTCGTCATAGATGTCGGTGAGGACAGAGACACCGTCGAGGTGGTTGATCATCATGTCCGGCCCCTTGCCTGCTGCCGCCGACTCGGGCGAGAAGAACTTGGCGCGGATGGCAAAGACAGCGCCGACAAAGAGGAGCGCTCCGCCGAGGAGGACCGCGAAGAGCACCAGGCCCTTGAGCTGGCCCGAGGCACAGAGAACGACCAACGCCGAGAGGGCGCCGATGTAGAACATGCCGGCCTTCTGGATGGAGAGAAAGGCATGCGGCGAGGGCTCGTTGTGCGGATCTGTCTCGTCGCGGAGTGAGCGCCAAGTCCAGGCAGCAGTAAGCGCGGCCAGGGCAGCCGAGCCAAACAGCGCCGAGACTTGCCGCATGACTGGCGAAGTAAAGGCAAAGGTAGCAAAGACAAGCATGAGCGACTTGATGATGTTGGTAATCATGAGATAGAGCTTGGCAAAGTTGGTATCCTTGGACGAGTCGTCGGCCACCAGGGTCGGAGCAATCATGACGCAGAGCGGGACGTAGTACAGCAGAGCGATCAGGGCAAAGGCGGCAAGCGCCGAGTGTGAGCCCTCCCAGCACCGGATCGACGGGTCGATGAGAAGAAAGGCGCCGCTCGATGTATACCTGCACGCAAGAAGGGAGAGAAGCTTGTTGGCAACGAGCAGGAAGCCGGCATCGGAGAGGACCGATATGAGCGCCTTGACCGTCGACGCGGCGTGTCGCGGCTTGCCATGCCCATAAATGACCGAGCCAGCCACCGAGTAGAAGAAGTAGTCGGCCGGTTCAGGCAACTCACGCGCGGCGCGCTCTTCGGCGCTAAGCCGCTTGAGAAACTCAAACTGCCACAGCTCACGAAGGAACTGGAACGAGAAGACGAGCAGGAGGAGGCCAACGAGCGAAAAGCCGAGAACCGTACCAAACGTTGTCAGGTTGATTGGCGACGAGATTGATGTCCGCGCAAATTCGAGGTAGACCACCTGCGGAAACGCGCCGAGGTCTGTCCCGGCCTCGTAATCCTTGAGCGGAAGCGCGATAAGCTGAACAAGCTCCACGATTAGAAAGAAGAACCCAACGTAGTTAAGGATGTTGCCCCACCGGAACGGGGTCACAGGAGCGTTGACCAGCGCTTCGAGTCCATCAGCTCCGGCCTTGAGTCCCGCGGCTCCGGCCGCCGTCACCGCATCACCCGCAGCCTCGACATCAACGTCAGCATTGGGTGGTGCAGCCTCGACGTCTGGCGCCGAGATCTGCATTGCGCCGACAGCGACCGCGCCAGCAGCTGCAGGATCGACATCGACGTTGGGAGCGTCGATGTCGGGCGTGCCGACGTTGGGGGCGGCGATGTCACCGACACCACCCACTCCAGCGACCCCAGCCGGATCAATGTCGACGTTGGGAGCGTCGATGTCACCGACACCACCCATTCCAGCGACCCCGGCCGGATCAATGTCGACGTTCGGAGCGTCAATGTTAGGCGTGCCGACGTTGGGGGTGTCGATGTCACCGACACCACCAACTGCGGCGACGCCAACACCGCCGATGTCACCCACTGCACCAGCCCCAACGTCACCAACGCCACCAACGCCGGCGGCTCCAACCTCGCCGATGCCACCCACTGCACCAGCCCCAACGTCACCAACGCCACCAACGCCGGCGGCTCCAACCTCGCCGATGCCACCCACTGCACCAGCCCCAACGTCACCAACGCCACCAAGGGCTCCAACCCCAGCCGCACCTAGTCCTCCTAGTCCACCACCCAGAGATCCGAGGTCTGGAACGCCGACAAAATCAAAGTCAATGTCAAACGCACCCTCCGGCTGGGACAGCGCACCGGCGGCGGCGTAAATACCCAGCCCGGCAACAAGGCCTTGACCAAAGATCTCCAGGCCGTCCTTAACTCGACTGGACTCGAGGAGCGCAGCTGCGTACATGGCCTGATACGCAATAAGCTCGGGCGGGACGTTGGCAACGACGGCGGCAATGTTGCGCGCCTCGTCGTCGCTAGCAAGCTCGGCGTGGGCGGCAAGAGCCGGCTCCAGTACGGTCCAGTCACGGACAGCAAAGCTGTTGCGGCGGTAGAGCTTGCGCACCAGCGCCCGCTCACGAAGGAGCGCAGCAATCTTGGGGTCGCGCTCCAGCTTGGCCGCGGCCGAGCCCTTGACATCCTCAATCTTATCAGCTGCAGCCGTCTTGGCCTCGACCGCCAGCGCCTTGACCTTGGCCTGGGCCGCGGCAGCCTGCTCACGAATCTGCGCCTCGTACTCAGTCTCCAACCGCTGCTTCTCAGCCAAAAGCTCAGGTGGAAGCGTGGCTTCAAGCTTGGCGTCAAGCTCGGCCTTCTTCTCGGCCGCCTTGGCCATGGCTGCGTTCTTGGCCTCGGCCAGCTGCGCCTTGCGGGTTTCTATCTCGGCCTCGAGGCGAGCCTTGGCCGCAGACCGCGCCTCCTCCAGAGACGCACGCATGCCGTCGGCCTTGGCCTGGATCTTGGCCATGGCCTTGGCCTTAGCCTTGGCTTTGGCCTGGTCCTTCAGCGACTTGCGGATGAGGTCCTTAGAGAAGGCGGCAAAGCCGAGGTGGTGCATCCGCTGAAGTCCGCGCACCGCCGCGCCATAGAATGTCTCCACCCCGTCGGCGCTCGTCCACCACACCCCAAACACCTGTGAGAGCCTGGTCACCACCGCCTCGCCGTTGGGCGCAGGTACAATCAGCACCGCAAGGACCTGCATCTCGCGCAGCGAGAGCCCGTCGTTCTCTGCCACTAGATCGAACATCTTGAGCGCTGGCAGCTGCGCCAGCAGCAAGGCCTTGGGCGACACTTGCGCCGACTCTACATCCGATGACGACGAGCAAGTTGACGACGACGAGTTCGACGACTCGTTAGAGTCGTTGTATGCCGACGGCCCGGCCAGCGTAGCAGCGTCGTCGACGCTCACCCCCGCAAACTCGGACGGCGAGATGCCGAGCGCCCGCAGCGCCTGGTTCCACATCGCCGCCGTCACCGCTTCGCCATACTCGACCAGCGCCGCGGTCGCTTCCGCCTTGTCCTCGGCATGAAGCTCCGATGATGAATCTTCGTCCGATGACGAGTACGATGAGCTCGACTTGACCGGCTTCCCTCTTTGGTCCGGAGCGCAGATCACGTCGGCCTGTACCATGTACGGCAGGGGGCTGACCGATGCCAGCGAGGTCAGCTCATTGACGATCTTGGCAAAAGTGTACGCATCCGCTGCTCCCAATAATCCCCCCAAATATAAACTGCATGAGTGTTTCACTCATATACATTGACGGCATCACGTTGTCCATGCCTGTCCCAACCAGCCGCGGTGGGGAGCGCTTACCAAAGCGGGGGAGGGGGGGAGGGGGGCAGGGGGGGGGGAACGGGAGGGGGGGAGGGGGAGGGGGAGGGGGAGGAGGAATGACATACTTTGGAGGCTTTTGGTAACCACAGCATTGAGAAGGTATGCCTCTTCCGGGATGCTTGTGTGACTGAAGCTGTTGCCCATGGAAGAGGCCACACCGTGCGACAGGTGGTGCGCCAACTCGTCTTCTTCGACAAAGCGGAGAGGACTTGCTTTTTGCTGAAAGGGGCCCAAACGGGGGCTAACGATTATTAGACGTTCGGTTGAACGTTAAGGCTCAGCAACGATTATTGAACCTTGGCTTGAACGTTAGTTACTTCCGATCTCGTCTATCCCTCCCGTTCTCTCTACTGAGACCAGAGGTATGGGCATCCCGCTTTCAATTTTATCGCACTCGTCTATGTCTTGGCTAGTCCTCGTGCTACAAGCATGAGATGGGACGTTGCGAGGGCAATTCTGCCCCGGTGAGATCATGACGATCCTTTGTTGAGACATTAATTGATGGCCGGGTTTTTTTCACTTTGGAACGCAGCGCACGTTTGACGGTCCACACCCAACGTAGTTGGCCATGGAGCAGCTCCCGACCGAGCTCCTGCACACGATAGCGTTTGAGACAGGAGTACTTTCCCACAAAGACGTACTTGCGCTTGCATGTACATGTACTCATGTACATACCAGCCTCCTAGGCGACACATACGCCCGCGACCGGAGCCATGCTCTTGCTGGCCTTGACTGGTGTCTTGCTCGCTCGCAATGGTCTGCCGCACTTCGCGCCCTTTTTCAGCCACATTATCATGACCATGGTGATGATCATGGCAACAAACACGACCACGACCGCGACTACCGCAACGATAACAACGATGACAACGACAACCATCCCGACCACGACAGCGACTCCAACAACGGCAACGATGATCACCACAGCAACAACTACCACCGCATCAATCTTAATGATCATAACTACCGTGACCAACGGCACAACCAAGGCCAGCCCCGCAACCGCTTGTTTGCCGCCTCCCGCCCACTCTGCTCGTGTTGGAATTGGAACGAGGAGCACCGCCTTCGGATCGCATTTGAGAACGGCGCTGCAAGTTGCTCCGAGGACTGGCTCCGCCTGGTGCGGCGATTGGCGGCTTGCTCTGTGGCGGCAACGCTTCGTGATGATGATTGTGCGCCTGTTCCGGTCTTTGTCTGGGCCGCCGCGTATGGTGCTAGCCCGGCGATCATGGTGCTGGCGCGGGATGCGGCCGAGGCGGGCAGACCGCTGGGGAGCGCCGTCGTGGCCGAGGCGCTGGAGGCTGCGATCCGAGTTGGTCACGCGGGCGCCACAGCGGCAGTCCTTGCAGCCTGTCCGTCGGCTGATGCTTGTGCGAGAAACTCGCGACTTGTTTGCCTCGCGGCGTCGCACGGGTCGGCAGAAGTTGTCAACGTGCTGGTTGGCTGCGGCGGTGCCGATCCCGCGGCGCACAGCTCGCAAGCGCTCCGTATTGCCGCGGTCAATGGGCATCTTGCTGTCGTCCGCCTCTTGCTCGATTGCCCCAGAGTTGATCCTTCTGCCGGCGGCTACGAAGCGCTGCGGTTGGCGGCCAAGCGCGGGCATGTTGGCGTGGTGGACGTTCTGGCGGGCACCGGGAGGACCGACGGCCCGGCGCTGTCCTCGGCATTGTGCGCCGGGGCCAGCGCTGGCCACCTTGCTGTTGTGGCACGCCTCCTCGAGTGCGAGCACATTGATGTCAGCGCCGCCGAGTATCGCGCGGTGTGTGAGGCTGCATGGCACGGCCACCACGACATTGTGCTCGCCCTCATCTCTGCGCCTTCTGCCAACCCCGTCTCTGCACGGGCCAAGGCGCTCAAACTCGCCGCCGCGCGCGGCCACTCGTCCATCGTCTCCCTCCTCAACCGTCACGGCTCCCCACTCTTTGCTTGCTGCAAGCTCCCTCCTGGCGGCCTTCCCTGGCTAGCCAAGCCCCGATCTCATCTTGATCACACTCCGTCACCGTAGCCTTCCCGTAGCTGTACGTCAGCCACCACCCAGATCGGCTGACCGACCGACCGATCAACCGACCAACGTGACCAACATGACACAAAGAAACAGTAAGATGCCGGAGCCAAGAGCCAAGGGCCAAGAGCCAGGTCCCAGGCCCAGGCCGAAGCCCAGGCCAAGATGACGGGGCAAAAAGCGCCAGTTCCCAGGCCCTGACCGAAAGGACAAGTCACACGACCGGCTGCCGCTTTCGATTGTCTCGATCAATTGGATTGCAATAAACTGAGAGTGCCATTGGTGGGCGGCGGCCGGCATCTGACTCGGCCAGCCGGAGAGCAGGCGGGGAGAGAGGATGCAGAACGTTCCAGAGCACGGCTCTACAGGCTCACCATCCCTACTCATACCTCCACCTTCACCTTCACCTTCACCTGCTTCACCTCTCTTGAGCTATGTAGCGAGTGAGAGCCCACGTGGCTTGGGTACCACCACCGTCACCGCCACCAACACCGCCATGGCTCCTGCCACGTCGAGTGGTGCAAAGACGGCGACAAGCACGAGGTCTTCCTCAGCAACGGCTCTCACATCTGCTCTGCCCTACAACTCGAATGCCAATCGCTCTCGTGTTGGGCACGAGCGAGGAAATGGAAAATTCGCTGCTGGTTCTGTCGTGCCATCATCGGCTCGCCGTCACCTGTCGACTGCGTATGATGGCGGTGGTGATGGTGGAGCTGGTGGTGGTGGCAGTGGCGGGAAGGGCCGTCCCGAAGTGTTCAAGCTCTGTGGTGTAGGCCTCGGCGAGTACAACGTGGGCAACGTGATTGTGGTGGCGACAGCGTTCTGTGGTCTCTTCACCTCGTTTAACTCGTTGCAGAACTTTGAGACCTCGCTCAACAAGTCACTTGGCTTCTTCTCGCTCGGCATCCTCTACACCTGCCTTGCGCTCTCGACCTTTATCGCTCCTGCGGTGGTGCGGACGCTCGGCAACCGGATCTCGCTCTGCATCGGCGCCTTTACCTACTGCATGTTTATTGCGGCTAACATCCATGTCGAGGCGTACATCCTGCTGCCTGTTGCAGGCATTATGGGTGTGGGTGCCGGCGTCCTGTGGACGGCGCAGGGCGCGCATCTGGCGCAGTCATCGGACGCTGGGCAAATGGGCAAGATGTCTGGCCTGTTCTTCTCCATCTTCCAGATCAACCAGGTGACCGGCAACCTGCTTGTTGCCGTTCTCCTGCACGTCGGCATCAATGTCCACGTGGTCATCATCATCCTCACCGGCATTGCGCTGCTCTTCTCGCTCCTGCTCCTTGCAGTCAAGCCGACGTATCCGGGCTCGCTGCTCAAGGCGCCTGTCGTTGGTGACGATGCCGCGGCGGCCGAGTCGCTCCTTGCGCAAGCCGGCTCTGTGCAGGACACCGAGGCCGGGCCCGACCTTGGCCTGCCGACGCTCACCACTCGTGAGCTCGTCCTGGAGACTCTCCATCTGTTTGGCAAGCTCCGGCTCCAGCTTCTCATTTTGCCCATGTTCTACTCGGGACTGACGCAGACGTACTATTTCGGCATCTTCCCGCGGCAGGTCGACCTCCGCATGATCGGCTGGCTGATGGCGTGCTTTGGCTCGGCCGACGCCTCGCTCTCGCTCATTCTCGGCAAGGTCTCGGACCGCATCGGCCGGCGCCCGATCCTCTTTGCAGGCGCCTTTGCCTGTGTTGTGGGTGTCCTCGCCGCCAACGCCGTCGCCCACTTTGACTGGCCGTCGTGGGTCATGTTCCCGGCCGCTGTTGCGCTCGGCGCTGCCGATGCCTCGTACAACACCCAGCTATACGCCATCCTCGGCTCATTCTTCCCGGAGCACCGCGAGGCGGCATTTGCCGCCTTCAAGGCCGTCCAGGCCGGCTCGACCGGCGCCGCCTTTGCCGCCTCGCAGTTTGCGTCGTTCTTTGTCCTCTCGGCCGCCCTCCTCGGCTCTCTCGTCCTCGGCCTCATCTCGCTGGTCATCCTCGACCTCTGGGTTCGCCCGCTCTCGTCGTAGGTAGTGGAGACAAAGCTGGATGCAGCATAGAGTGTTTGATTTATGACGATGACGACGACGACGCCGCCGACTCGCTGCCCTTGGTGCGCGCTGGCGACGACGACGACATGGCCACGCCGTCGTCCGAGTTGGATGTTGAGGTGACAGGTTCGCCCTTGCGGGTGATGTTGGGCAACCAAACATGCCACGACGAGAACTTAAAGGTCTCGGCGTCGTTCTTGCCCTTGAGCACGTTGAGGGCGAGGAAGCCAAAGACAAACAGCGCCATCTCGAGACCGTACACGATGTACAGGCCCGAGAGGTTCTCAAAGATGTGCTGGTTGAGATGCCATACGCCGAGGCCGACGTTGACCAGGCCGAGCACCGCCGCCGTCCGCCCGCCCCACCAGTGGAGGTATTGCCAGAACTTGCGCTTGCAGTTGAGCGGGTTGGGGTGCGGCCGAAAGTAGGCGTTGACCGGCTGGAGCAGGCCGAGAAGCGTGACAAGGACGCCAAAAATGGCGTGTGGGAGGGCGGTAAAGTGCTTGCCGGTGATGAACCACGCAAAGATGAAGCCTAGCAGCGCAAAGCATAGCCCAATCGGCATGACAATGCGGTGGATGAAGAACCAGATCGGAAGCCCGCGCGGCTTGGCGCTCGAGTGCTTGAGGAACCGCGCCGCAAAGATGCCTCCCGGAAGGAGGAGACCCCACGAGAGCCACATAAAGAGGCCGTGCAGAATCCGAAAGTCAAAGCCGATCTGGCAGGCCTTGTTCGGCAGTCCGGCCGTCGTCGTCCCGCTCAGCCGCCAGATCTCGTTGGTCAGCGCGCCGCTGACCTGCCCGCCAAAGACCAGCACGTACTCGGACGAGGGTGATGCCGTGTTGTACACAAGCGTCATGGTGTGAGCTTGGCGAACGGCAGGCACTGCGCTGCCGCCCGGCACTACCCGGGTCCACGCCCCAGATGGCACGTCGAGCACGTTAACAACGCCGCCGGCGGTCGCCTTGGCGCCGCCGTAGAGCACAGCCTTGGAGCTGTCGCCCGGGAAGAACGCCATGGCGGCCCGCTGGAGCTTGGGCGGGCACTTGCGGGTCTTGACCCAGTTGCGCGAGCCATCGGCAAAGTTGGCGGCAAAGATGAAGCTCTCCTGCGACGGGCACGGCGAGTAGCCGCCGGACCCGCATCCGCCGTACATGGTGAACGAGTTGGCGGTGAGCATGGTGGTGCCCACCAGGCACCTCGCGCCGGGCAGATTCCCTGCCGGCGTCACCTCGATCCACTTTTGCTCGGCAAACGAGTAGAAGAAGGTGTCATCGTAGCGGACCTTCTTGTTGAAGCCGTGCGAGAGGTACAGGCCCGTGCCTGTGCGGAAGACGCCGCCAGCCGATCCGTACCGTCCGCGAGGAATGGCACCAGCCTGCGGCAGCTGAGTCCATGCGTAGGTTGTCAGATCAAGCTCCCACACATCCGAGAGCACAATGGGACCTGATTGACCTGAGGAGATGTACAACGAGTTGCCCACAATGCCCGAGACCATATCAAAGCGAACAACCGGACGGGTACCAGAGGTGGATCGCTCTGTCCACACGTTTGTGGTCAAATCAAAGGTCCACACATCGTTTGTCTCTCCCGAGGCAGAGACACCACCAAAGAGAACAACTTGATTCCTTCCAGCATCATACTCCCACACAGCATCACGTCGAGGAGATGGTGCCGCAGAGGTTGATGGCGTGAGCAACGACCACGACAGCTGCTGGCCAGAGACATCAGGAGCCATGGCGGCAACAAGAACGACCACAACGACCACCGTAACACCAAACATTCCAGACATCCACATCATTAGCTTTGTTCAACTCTTGGCGTCTCTGCTCCCTCCCTTTCTCTCTCTCTCTCTCTCGTCTCTGTTGCTTCGCCCCGTGGCGAGAGTGAGCTGTCCTCCCTCGTCAGGTGGGCCTCCTTCTGTGTCGTGTTGGCTGCCGACAAAAAAACGTTGCTTGGCGCACTCTCCGCCAATGACGCCATCATATCCCCCAGTCTCTCCTTTGACTTGGGCAGATGATGGGGGGGCGTGCTGCTTGGCGCAATGACGCCATCATATCCCCCAGTCTCTCCTTTGACTTGGGCAGATGATGGGGGGGCGTGCTGCTTGGCGCAATGACGCCATCATATCCCCCAGTCTCTCCTTTGACTTGGGCAGATGATGGGGGGGCGTGCTGCTTGGCGCAATGACGCCATCATATCCCCCAGTCTCTCCTTTGACTTGGGCAGATGATGGGGGGGCGTGCTGCTTGGCGCAATGACGCCATCGTATCCGCAGTCTCTCCTTTGATTTGGCAGATGATGAGGCGTGCTGCTTGGCGCAATGACGCCATCATATCCGCAGTCTCTCCTTTGATTAGGTAGATGATGAGGCGTGCTGCTTGGCGCAATGACGCCATCATATCCGCAGTCTCTCCTTTGACTTGGGCAGATGATGGGCTTGGTGGCAGATGTCGGGCGGATGGCCAACCAAGGAAGATGGCCGGCTGGTGGCAGTTGCTAGGCGGACTCTTCCGCACGACGGCTGCTCCATCGAGTATGATGGGGACGGTGGTAGACAGTGAGAGTGGGCGAAAAGGCATGACTCGGCCGGTGTGGCAGGAGAGGCTGATCGGGGGCTGGTGAGTGGCGGGCTGGTTGGGCGGTTGATGTATGTGGCTGGAAGCAAGAAACTACGAAATGCCAAAGTCGTTGCAGACGTCAGCGAGCCACAGCTGGGCGGTCCGCTCGCGAGTCATGCGGAAGCCGGCAGCGTTGAGGATAGCGGTCCGCTCGCCGTTGATGAGACGGGCATAGAGCCAGTTGCGGAGATCTTGCGAGCGTTCAAAGTACTTTTGGCGCGGAAGCTTGGGTCCAAACGTGCCGACGTCCGACTTGCACGCCATTGACATGCGGTAGCACGTCCGTCCGCCGGTCAGCTCCTTGTCCACCGGCTGGACAATGAGCAGGACGTGGTTGAACTGCGAGTAAACACAAGTCGGGACGTACGGCGTCGAGCCCTCGACAAAGACCACCATAACAATGTCGTTGCCAAGGTGACGCTTGCGCTGAAGTTGCTGCACGTCGGTGGGAAAGTACGGGAGCATGGTGGCGACGTGCCACATGACCTCAAAGTGGCGCCACTGCGTGTAGATCGACGTTGTCCCGGTGCCGCCCGAGCGGACGTCAAGCCCGGCCCGGTACGCTTCCCATCCCTGCAGCTCGATCGTGTCACCCAACCAGTCGCAGAACTCCTGGTACTCGGGGGAGTGGTCGATCACATACCCGTCGTTGGCAAACATGTCCTCCTCCACCGTCTGCCCGTCCTTGACATACAGCAGGCCAAACTTGTACTTGGTCACCAGCTCGGACGTCTCGTGCGTCGCCAGCCGCTTGCAGAACTTCTCATCGTCCGCCACCTTGAGCGCCATCTTCTCCAGTGCAGGCAGCGCCACGTTCACCACCTTGCGCGCCATCTTGGAGTTCAGATCCTTGTTTTTCACGTTCACATCGTCCGAGCTCACAAGCACATGCTGCCGCCCGGCCTGCGAAAGGACCCGGACCCGAAAGTGAAAGTCGTCGCCAAAATCCTCCTTCACCACAGAGATCACCAGCGCTCCCATAGCCTTGTCCTTCCCCACAAACGTCACATGCGGCTTGCCGAAAAAGTAGTCATTGTACCACGTCTTGTCTGTATCCATCTCTACAATCTCCAGCTCCTGCTCTGCCACCGCGGCCACGGTCGTGTTGTCCTTGCGCATAATTTGCCACCCGGAGCTCTCCACAATCATGTCGGCGTCATCCGGGTCGGCCGTCGACTCCCACGTCGCCTAAACATGCCATCACCACCACAATACCATACACATGAGCTTCTTCCATTTCCTCCCTTCCTCCCCCCCTCCCCCCCTCTCCCCCCCTCTCCCCCCCTCCCCCACCTTTCCTCCGCCGCTCTCACCGTCGCCTCCGCTGCCTTTCGAAAAATTGCCTTGTGCACCTGCAACGCCTGTTCATGACCCCCGTCAGCGGCCCTGCCCCCTTCCCCCCCCCCCCTGCCCACGCAGCACCACGTACATGGTCACCTTTTGTTGCAGCAATGAGCTGTGCAATCTTATCCGCAAGAAGCACGTTCTCCGACACAACCTCCATCCTCGAGTGGTGTGTACCGCTTCCGCTCTTGTCCTCCTACCCCTACTCCACCCTCCTCCTCGCCATGCTACCTTGACGGTCGGTGCTCCGCACCCGATCGATCGCCATTGGCGAGAGAGTGCCTGATCACCAACCGCATGTTCAACCCACTTGATCAACCCCCCCCCCTCCCCCCCTGGCCCTCCATCACTAGCAACCAACCCCGTCGACGGCATGCCACTTTCACGACCTTTTCTTTCCCCGCCATCATCGGTGATGACCACACCATGGTCTCACCCTCCTCATCCTCCTCATCGCCTTCCTCCAACCAAGCCCGCTTGGCTTTGTACGCCAGCCTCCACCTCCTCTACCTCTCCTCGCCACACCCAACGCTGCTCGAGTATGGCGGGAGGGCTTAGCTATGACGAGCTATTGCAAGCCTTTCGGCGTAGTCAAGCCAAGCTCGCCAAGGCTGAGGAGACCATAGAGGTGCTCGAGTCTGAGAAAGCACACCATGTGAGCTGGCTGGCTCAGCATGGCGAGGCGGGGTGGGAGCCTGACCTCGCGTCTGAGCTGTATGTAGCCCGAGCCAAGACGACTGCCATCCAGCGGGAGTACGAGCGAGCGCAAGCACTTGCTGAGGAACAAGCTCTGGTCCTGGAGCATGCTCTTGCCGGAAAGAACGCACTCGCTGACGAGCTCCGCGCAGTGACAGCCGAGCGCGACGCCCTGGCTGCCGAGGTCGACGCTCTCGAGGCCGAAATCCGCGTTCTCCGCCTCCGTCTCACTGCAGACGTCGAGGCCAAGACAGACACCTCGTCTCGTGCCCGCCGCCGCGCTTACAAGGCCAAGCTGGCTGAGCAGATCGAGCTGGAGCAGCAGGCGATTGACGCCCTGGTCCATGCTCTGGTCGACGAGCAAAAGGCAAAGATCAAGCTCGACCGCCGCGCCGCACCGCCCCCCACCGTCTCTTCCACCAGACGATCGGTCCACGCTACTCGCTCGACTCCAGCCCACCTCGCCCACCATCCGCCCCATTCCATCCAGCGTCCGCCGTCGCCGCCGCCCATGCCGCATGGTGCTGTCGATGTCCACACCGCCGCCGATGGCTCCCACATGTATGTGTTGTAATCCCGTCTGCCTGACACGTAGCATCAAACCCCCTCTCCCCCAGTCCTCAAAAGTGGTCCGTTTTAAGCGTACTCAACATCGATGATCTTGCCCATGAAGACAAGGGTCTTCGACTCGAGGCCGGCAACACGGCCGTACGACTCCGAGCGCTCAAAGGTCTCGCAGTAGAGGAAGCCCTGCGGCTCAAAGGTGATCTCGGCCATCTCGTGCTTGCGGACGAACTCCGGGTTCTCGAGCTTCTGGCCAGCAGTGCGCTTGCCCATCACCCAGTGGATCTCCGAAATGCGCGAAGCGCACCGGCCGGTACGCACGCACATCTGCGGGCAGAAGCCGACCTTGAGGTCACCAGGGTGGTTCTGCACGCGGATCATGGCGCGGAACGACTTGACGCGGCGCGGGAGGAGCTCCTGCTTGTCGGCGTAGTCAGCCGGGCGGTACAGGAGGTCACCACGCTTGACCTGCTTCGGCTTGGTGCCCTTCGGGAACTTGACCACAATGCCAACGTTGAAGCCAGCAATACCGGCGTCCACGTCCTGGTGGTGCATCTGGATCGAGAAGGTCTTGCCAGACAGGCCGTTGCGCGCGAGCGCGACGACGTCGTCCTTGCGGATGGTACCGATCTCAATCCGGCCCATGGTCACGAGACCCTGGCCCGGGATGAGGCGCGAGCCCGAAACCGAAAGGTGGAGCGGGCCGTTGGCGTCACGGTCGGGGATGCGCATGTAGTTGTCGAGCGCCTCGACAAGGGTCTTGCCCTTGATCTCGGTGCCGCCGACAATCTCGAAGCCCTTCTTCTTGCGCTTGGCGGTGTAGCCGTACCGGCCGGACCAGCCGTTGTACCACGGCATGTTCTCGGTCGGCGAGGTGAGGTTGTCACCAACCCAGCCGGAAACCGGGATGATCGGGACAGTGGCCGAGTGGAAGCCAGCCTCGTCGATCATGCGCGAGACCTCATCGCGGATCTCGTTGAAACGAGCCTCGTTGTAGGCGCCGCCCTCGGACGAATCCATCTTGTTGACGCAAACCACGAGCTGCTTGATGCCGAGCAGGTTGGCGAGGTTGGCGTGCTGGCGGGTCTGGCCACCAGCCATCATGCCGGACGGCTTGGCAATCGATGCCTCGAAGTTACCGTCAGCCGGGACCATGAGGACCGCGACGTCAGCCTGGCCGGCACCGGTGATCATGTTAGTGATAAAATCGGCATGACCGGGGGCGTCGGTGATCGAGTAGTCGTAGTTGGTGGTGCGGAACGACGACGTCTGGCAGTCGATGGTGATACCGCGCTCGCGCTCCTCCTTGGACGTGTCCATGAAGTAGGCAAAGGCGAAACCGGCCTTGTTGTTCTCGGCAGCAGCCTGCTCGAGCTTCTCCTTGGCACGCTCGTCGATGCCGCCGAGCTCGTAGATGAGACGGCCGGTCATGGTGGACTTGCCAGCATCGACGTGGCCAATGATGACGACGTTGAGCTTGCGGGCGGGGTCAAAGGTCTCAGCAGACATGTTTGCTTCGGACTAAGATAAGTGGTGCGGTGTGTTGTGTTTGTGGGGGGGCCTGTGCGCCGTGGCGAGGGATGGCGTTTTTTGGGGATTGTGGATGGCGAGTGTTCCGTCCGCCAAAAAACGACCAATACCTTCTTCCAAGGAAGCGCTGGAACGTTTTTGGCCCGCTTCTGCTCACACCGATTGGCTCCCGTCAACTGCCAATCGAGCCGCGCACTCGCGGCAGAGCCAGAGCGACTCGCCGGTAGTCAACGCTACGAGCTCGAGCCCACCGTGTCCATCGAAGACTTCGGATAGAACTCGATACGCTTCACGGATGGTCAGTGGCTCTCCATCGCTTCTGCCGCCTACGCCCGCCGCCTGATCCGACGACACATGCCCGTCGCTCACTCGCGAACTCGCTCGGTTGCGCCGGAGCGAGCCCGCCCGCGACCGTGTCCGCGATCGCCCGCCCGCGAGCGGCCCGCCTCCACGCCCGCCGTCAACTCCGAGCTCATGCCGCCCGACGCTACCCTTGCGGGCGATAAACTCGGCAAACTCGACAGACTGGACCATCTCCAGCTCGGGCGACGTCAGCCGCATCAGCCGGACCAGACTGTCAAAGTACGGCACGGCCGCCACCACGTCGCACCCGTTCTCGGCAGAGAGCTTCACTGCCTCGGGCGCCAGCGGCATATGCCAGCCCTGAGGGTTCTCGCACAGCGCCACCAGCGACGCTCCGTTCACCACGCAGCACGATGACGACGAGAGCTGCGTCACAGCAAAGATCCGCGGCCCGTCAATGTGCGCCACAAGGCCGTCGGCCATGTTCAGCTGCCGCATAAACGAGCGCTGCGCATGCTCGCGCAAGTCGGCCCACTCAGCGTCCGCCGCATCGGCTTCGGCTCTGCTACCGTCGTCAGCTTTGGGCTCGTCGTCGCACCCGCCCGACGATGCCATCGCCTCGCACACCGCCCCGGCCAGCTCCTCCATCGACGCCTCAAACTCACTCGCCGACCCAAACTTGATCTGCGGAAGCCCTGCTGCGATGAGTCCGACCTCGCTCCGTGTCCACGCGTAGTCGCCCGACCCAACAACAGCCACTACCATCGGAAGGCACAGGTTCTTGGCCGCATGCAGAAATTCCATACGGCAGTTGTCCGACGCCGCATACGCGTCCGACACACACGCTACCACAACCCGCGCCCGCGACAGTCCCGCCGCAATGTCCTCAAACAACCCGTTCCGCCCCAGACAGTCGATGTCGAGCCACGTGCCAAGCCCATAGTTCTTGGCAAGATCGATGGCAATCCCGCGCGGATCGACCTTGCCCACCGCCGCCTCGCCAAACGCGTGCGCAGAGTTGCGCCACGCGTACGAGACAAAGACCGGCCTCGCGCTGTTGACCGCCAGAGGAGGCACCCGTCGCGGGACGGCAAGCCCACGCTCGTACACCTCAATATGCCCCTCTGCTCCTTTGTCATCGGTTGGAACATACGCCTGCGCAGGCGAGTTGGCCGGCAGCATCATCAGCAGCCGCGACGAGAGCTCTGCGAGCTTTGCCTCTCGCGTTGCAGGCGACACAAAGTCGATCCACAGCTCGCCTGATATGAGCATGTACGCTCGGTGCCGCATAAAATCAAACGACTCACCCACAACCACAGGCACTCGCGACTTGTGCAGGATCTTGATGGCGTACTCATACTCGCGGACCGCCGCCGGGTCGTTAAAATACTCGACCGAGACACAGGCCACAAAGATCCGCACAGACTGCAGGATTCGAGACATGTCGTCGCCGCTTGGCGCTCGAGGATCACGAAAGTAGACTGTGAACCCGAGTGCCCGCAGCTGCTCACCGAGCGCCAACGGATCAAAGCTACCGCGCGCCGCCGGCACGATGCCGGCGGCCACCGCCTCGGAGGAGTTGGCAAACGAGTACGAGATGTAGATGGCAGAGGTGAGGAGGACGTGCTGCTGCTCAAGCATCGCCACGTCGCGCTCAAACTGGTCCGCCACCTGCACGTCCGACCGTGGCGGAATGTACGCCACCAGCCGCCGCACAGGCACCATGTGAAAGTACTCGCACTGCAAAAACGGGACCTCGGACGTCACCGCCCGCCGGATCGTCCGCACCAGAAAGCTCGACGCCGCCCGACGCAAGCTTTCGTCGCCGTCGACATGGAACCCGCGCACCAGCGTCTGCCCTCTGCCTCCGTCCACAAGCTCCGTGCACTCGGGACACGGCACGTGGACGCTGTACGCCAGTCCGGTGTACAGCTCGTCGACAAGTCGAGATATGATCTGCGAGAAAAGGCTGAGGAGGGTGTGCGGCGCCGAGCCCGCAACCGCCACCGTAATCACCCCGCGCTTCTGACTCGTCGTGAGCTCAGCAACGTGCGGCCCGCGCCGGAGCCGCAGACCCGTCCGCCACATCACGGCAAAGTTGGCGCCCGATGCCGGACCCGGCACGTCGCGCGCACGCACTTGGATCCGCGAGAAGAGGCCGATTGGGAGAAAGTCAAACGAGTACGTCAGGCTCACACGCTCCGCGCCATGCGGAATGCCTCTCCACTCGGCAGGCCACGCCACCGGGTCGTCGGGCAGGAGACACGGGACCAGATACCGCGGCCCGCGCGTCGGATGCGGCGGGAGCGCGTAGACAAGCTCAAACTGAGCGATGAGGTGCAGGAGCTTGGTGTGGAGTGAGGTGTCGTACCGCGCCCAAACCAACGCCGTGGCCGACTCGTACAGGATCCCGTCCACAATGGCAGGCGCCTGCCCGGCTGCATCCATCTGCGGCAGCTGCGCAGAGACAACGCACGCCATCACATCTGCCAGAAACTGCGGCGAGAGGATAACAAGATCCCGCAGTGCCGGTGTCTGTACGTGGATGATCGTTCCCAGGTCCGTCAGGTACTCGGTCGCCCGCAGCACCTCCTCCTCTGTGTGGAGGGTGCAGAGCGCGCCAAAGCACCGGACTCGCGACCACTGGGTGATGAGCTCGGTCGTGCACTCGGTTGCCAGCTGGCGGAGCTGATTCTCGAGCTTGATGAACGCCGTCGGCACAATCTGGTTCATGTACGGCTCACCGGCGGCAATCGCCAGCACTTTGGCTCGCAGCACGTCAATGTTGAGCCCGGTGGCCGACGACACGTTGACAAAGCCGCGTATCTGACTAAACTGCCGCCGCAGTCGTGCCTCCTCGATGTTTGAGACTGGAACCTGGTCCGCATGCGTTCCCACAATGACAACTGGCGCCTCGGGATGGTGTGACCGGATCGAGTTGAGCCAAAAGTCGAGGCCGCCGTGCTCGGCGCCGAGCCGAATGTTCCACACCAGGACGTAGATGGCACGGTGTGAGAGGAAAAACTGGTGCGTGTTGTAGTAGACCGACTGCCCGGCAAAGTCCCACACCGAAAACCGGATGCTGTCCGTCTCCAACACCGCTTCGGGCGCCGCCGCCACTACATCCGCCGCCGGTACCACCCACTCGCGGATGGCGATTCCGTCGGTTGACTTGGACTCGCGGTCAAACGCGTCTGGACCTTGCGTGAGCGCTGCAATGAGCGACGTCTTGCCTGCGTTGCCAAGACCGACCACGCACAGCTTGGTTCGCGAAATCGGGACGGAGCCGCCGGCAAGCGCCTGGTAGTACAGCAGGATAGCCGCAGAGCCCTTGGCCCGGATGCATGGGGCCGGAAACTCGAGCGGGTTGCCCATGCACTCAAAGTGTACCAGCGAGCTCATCGTCCCGAGCTCCTCTGGCAGCCGGACGAGCGCGTTTGACGACACATCGAGCCGCGTCAGCTGCCCACCAGATCCAAGTCCAGAGAGCAGCTCGCGCGACAGCTCGTCAAGCCCGAGGTGCTTGATCGAGAGCTGCCGGAGCGAGCTGAGCTGTGCAATCGGCGTCACGTCCAACTTGCGGGGCACAAGCACATGCGCGAGCTCGGCATTGAGTCGCAGCACTGCCGGCGCATCGAGGCTCCCCACTCCATCTTCATCAAGCGCATCAAACGCCGCCATTGCAACTTGTGAGTCGAGCCAGACCGCATACGGCTTGGCCCTCACCATCTCCATCCACTCGCTCCGGTCCAGTACACCCGAGACCGGCGCGGCAAGCGGTGCCCCGTCTAGAATCAGGATCTCAAGCTCGGTCAGCGAGGAGAGCCACTCGAGGCTAGACACTGCCGCATGTCCAGCCACGTTGAGGTACCGCAGCCGAGTAAGTGAGCCCAGTGCAGGCGGAAGCGTGTTGAGGTTGTTGTCGGCAAGCGCGAGCGAGACGAGCGAGGGCGCAAGCAGCTCTGCCGCCGCATCGGGGAAGCCAGGCAGCTCGTTGCCCGAGAGATCGAGCTCGCACAGTGCAGTTGCACACTCGAGCAGCGCCATCGGCACCCCGTACAACCCGTTGCTCGCCACATTGAGCGACGTGAGATTTGCGAGAACGCCGGGCCCAAAAGGCCCGACAAGCGCCAAGTCCGACACCCCAGACGAGGCCAGGTTGAGCGTCGTCAACGCCATGCACCGCTCCAGCACCCCCATCGGTAGCGCTTCAAGGCTGTTGCCGGATAAATCAACGCTCTTGAGACGGGCAAGCATCCCGCCACTCGCCTCAATCGCATTCGCCACCTCGCCGTCGGTCTCGAGATCGGTACCAGCCAGATCGAGCGAAGTGGGCGCGCGGAGGAGAGCGAGTATGTTAGGAGCAAGCGTCGACGCCATCTCGGGTGCTAGCGCCGCTTCAGACGACACTCCCGCATCCAGCAGCAGAGAAACGACAGTACTCAGCCCCCGCTGCGCCGGTCCCGTTACTGATGATGATGTGAGACAGCTGCCGCTGCAGTGGCGAAGCACAAGCGAGACCAGCGCATGATCATCGACTACAAGTCTCTCCAGGACAATCGCCAGTGCACGCGGCGCATCCGAGTCGAGACCGTAACCGACGAACACGGCGTGCGCTGCAGACACCGCATTGGCAGCCACCGACGTCTCGAACAGTGTCCATGCCACAGCGGTAGTGGGTTGCAGCGTGTCGAGCTCAGGATCAAGGCGAAGATCACGAAAGGCAGCCAGGCGTGGCGAGAGTGCTGCCACCAGCGGTTCGAGGACGGCTGCATTGGTAGCTTCAAGGACAGCAACTGCCGGCGAGAGCGGATAGCTGCCACAGGGCGGCGCGCCGACACCACGCAGCGCCACGACCCTATAGAGAGGCCCGCCGTGGTCGAGCTCAATGTGGTCGTGGAGGCGGATGGCAAAGGCGCGCGCAAGCTCCTTGGCCGTCGCGCCACCCTCAACAGCTGCCGCCAGCGAGACATCGTTGAGCAGAGTGTCGTTGGCGCCCAGATCGGCTGGTTGGAGCACGTACGCGTTGATGGGCACGTGGTAAACAAGCGCGACGTGGACGGCCGAGACTCGCGGCGCATGCACGCTTACCACAATAACCTCGTCAGGATCGAGTGGCTCGGAGCTGTCGGCGACCATCAGCGTGTTCGACTTGAGCCATGCGTGGCACCGCTTGTCTGACCGCCCCAGCACAGCGTTGGGGCCAGACACAACAACTTTGTCTGGTGCATTGGGAAACGCATCGGTATTGACCAGCTCCAGTGTGAGTCTTGGCGGAAGAGTGTTGCCGCTGAGCGTCGTCGTGAGCGGATACGTCATCGGGTTGGCTGCCGCCCCGGTGTAGCAGTGGACGCAGGTGGGCAGCATCTCGCCAGCGTCGGCCGTCACCACCGCTGCCACTACGGCCTCGACCATCAGCGCGGAGCAAAATCCAGGCGCAAGGAGCTCGCGTTCCGGCTCATCAGCCCGGACTAGCTGCCCGAGAAGCGGTGGCGCCCGCCGCACGTCGGCCAGCACCGGCGCAAGCGCCAGGATCTGCGTCACAGCATCGACATGGGATGGCGGTAGGGCCGAGACGCCAAAGACACGTTCACCAAGAGCAACCAACAGCGATGCAGCCACCTCGACAGATTCGGTCATCGGCAGACCAATGAGCGCCGCCGGCCAGGGGTCCTCGAGTGAGTCGGCGACGCCAAGTGGCGAGACAAGCGCTGACGCGAGCGTCCACCGCAGCAGCGCCACCTGCGGCAGACCAAACGACTCGGGCACAAAGATCGTGGCCCTGTCCTGGGCCTGAGTGGCACTCGAGTCATAAGACGAGCTTTGGGTCACTTCTGAGTCTGATCCCGAGTCAGATGATCTCGAGACTGAGGCCGAGCTCTCTTCGTCTGAGGATGACGACCGAGTCCTCGAGAAGGTCGACACTGCCCGAGGTCGTCGACTCGAGCCAGGACCATCCACACTACCTTGCTTCACCCATGATCGCGACGATGACAAGCTCGCCGAGTGTGACGACGACGATGACGATGAGCCACAACTTCCATCATCACCAACATCTGGCCTTCTGCCACTGTCCGGCCAAGCTGTCGTCGACATGGCGGCGATACTGGCTTCCGACTGTGGTCACTTTGCGGACCTTGCTCCCTACCACCCTCTCTTCCACTCTCAGTGGTGTATATGTACACGTATGTGAATGTTGGGAGATGTGGGGAGCCAGTCGTCCTCGCGTAGATGGTGGTGGTGGTGGTGGTGGTGGTGGTGGTGGTGTGCAGCAAGTCGCAAGCCGCAAGTCCGCCTTTGTGCCGATCGCGCCCGTGTCGGAATTCAGGCAGTCAAAACCATGGAAACTGATCATGAACAGAGGCGTGAACGTGACACGCGCTTACAGAGCCACATTCGTCGTCGATGGACAAGCGTCCTCAAGCTTCCATTGTCCGCCGCGTACGTATTCAAGTGCCTTTGACGAGGGAGAGGGGGAAGTGTGTGTGTGTGGTGGGGGGGGGGGGGGTGAGGAAAAGGAGGGAGAGGGAGGGGGAAGTAAGGCAAGGGGGGAAGGGGGGTGGCTAGGCAGCAGGACGTGTCCGTATCCTTGGAAGGAGGGGGGGGCGGAAGGAGAGGGTGACACGGTCGCGAGGGAAAGCCATGTCGCGAAAGTCCCTCTGCCCCACCGCCACTGCTACCACCACCCAGTACCGCCTTCCTCCCAGCCATCTAGCACCACCCATGGACACTGCATGGTATGCTGCAGTTGACATTCTCCATATCTTCTTCCATGACCCAGTAGGTCTCCCCGGAGAGGGGACACCCTTGGCTGTCTATGGCATCATTCGTGACCTTTGGTCTCGCCGCAACCGCGCACCCCACACCTCCCCTCCCCGACCCCTCCTCCTTCTTCCACACTCCCGCATGTAGTCCCTATTTGTATCTTCATCTTGTCGTCCAGCTTGAGGCGGCTTCTGGTGGTGGTGGTGGTCAAGCGCCAAGGCCAGGCCGGCCAGGCCAGACAGGCACGGTGGGTCGCAGTAGCTGCAGTGTGCCGGGTGAGACAGGCAACTCACACAATGAGAGGCATGCTCTGTAAATGGGGGATGGCTTGGTTTGGCTGCTATGGCGTAGTCGTCCCGACGCTTGTCTCCTGTGCAGAAAAACTCGTCGCGGAAACAGACTCGATCTCGCAAGACCGAGCCGAGCTCGCCGCCGTCTACAGCTCTCTCCCCGCCCCGCGCAAGACCCGCAAGCAGCGAAAGACTGATACTGCGCCATCGTCAACAAAGACCAACTCATCGACTCCATCTTCGTGTCTACCGAAGACTCGGAAGCGCCAGCGTCGCAACTCATCGTCAGCACACTCGCCTACCGAGACATCACCACCGTCGAAACGGACACGGGGCCTGACTGCAAGCAAGCCGTCACACCCCGGACCTGCGCCAGACTTGACAAAAGCACGCAAATCCAAGGCCAAGACCAAGGGCAAGACCAAGGCTAAGGGCAAGGACAAGACCAAATACAGGGACAAGGGTAAGCCAAGCCCCGCGTCGCCGTCGACCGAGTCGCCGCAAGCCAGCAAGAGCAAGAGCAAGAGCAAGAGCAAAAGCAAGAGCAAGAGCAAGAGCAAGCGCTCTCGCTCCAGTCCGTCTAACAAGGCATCCAAAGCCAAAGAGCTCAAGCGACACAAGCCGCTTCGAGACCTCGCGAGTCCGCTCAGTTGCGGCAGTACCTCGAGCACCGCATCTAGCGTCCCGCGAGCCGGGCAGCTCTTTTCCCGCGCGTTCGGAGGTCTACTTCACCGACGCCGACCGATGTCGGGACCCTTGACGGAGATGCTGGAGGGCATTTCTGCGCTGCATGACGAGACGCGCGTATTGCTTGCGCTTTCGCAGCTGTGCGAGTACCTGGCGATGGCGAACGAAGATTCGATGTCGGGATTCTCGCCTGACGCGTTTGTGCCGCCGATGATCAACTGTCTCTCGCTGGCGCACAACCCGAACATCATGCTATTTGCCATCCGGTCGCTTACACACATGATGGACATCCAGCCCAACTCTGCCAATGTGGTGGTGGGCAACGGCGGCGTGCCGCCGCTGGTTATGAACTTGATGAATCTAGCGTACATCGATCTCGCCGAGGCGGCGATGCAGGCGCTGGACAAGGTTGCGCACGAGCACGCGGCGGCAATCATCCAAGAAGGCGGCATGATGGCTGTGCTCTCGCATCTGGACTTTATGCCGATGTCGTCGCAGCGGGTGGCTGTCAAGCTCGCGTCGTCGCTCTGCCGGTCGATGTCGTCGTCGACGATGCCACTGTTGTCAGACACGCTGCCGACGCTGACCAACCTGCTCAACTACTCGGACCCGAAAATCCTCGAGTCGGCCATCCTCTGTTTCTCGCGCCTGGCATCGTCGCTCTACTCGGACGAGGCGGCGCTGACGACGGTCACGTCTTACGGACTCTTCAACAACTTGCTCATGCTCATCGGACCCGAGGCCTCAGTCTCGCTCCCGGACAACGCGTTTGTCATGGTACTGTCGACGCTGGCTACCTTTGCGCGTGCCTCGCCGCAGCTCGCCACCAACCTCATGCAGTCTGGCGTCCTCGCTGTCCTGCGGCACCTCATTGCTGCCGAGCCCGCGGCCGGCGACGCAACCGGAGCTGGGCCGGCACCGGGCTCGCCGGTTCCGGCCGGCACGCCTGGCGGTACCCTTGCGTCCCCTAGTACCATGGCGCCGACTACGTCGGCGTCGGGCACCGCTGCCGGACGGCCTGCGGCGGTTCTCTTCCAGTCGCTGACGCTGGCCTCGGAGCTGCTGCCGTACTTTGAGTATGACTTTCCAGCCAAGAACACGTCGTCGTCGTCGTCGTCGTCGTACTCGTCGCTCTCGCGGTTCTCGTCGCGGTACTCGGGCGGCCTCCGGTCATCGGGCGGATACCAGCTTGTGCTCGGCAAGGGCCTCGAATCACGGTCCGCCGGTAATGAGGTGCTCGACACCGAGACCGGTGAGACGGCGCGTCTGCGGATGCTGGCCGAGTCGGAGCTGCTCCTCGACTCGATGGTCGAGATGCTGCTTGCACCGCTACTTGGCGTGTGCGCGACGTCGGTCAATCCGTCGGTCCGCAACGGCGGATTTCGTGTGGTGGGCAAGCTTGTGCACCTAGCCTCGGCCGATGTTCTTCGCGAGCGGCTTGCAGACTTGCCCATCTCGTCGTTTGTGGCCGCGCTTCTCTCGGAGCGGGACCTGACCGCGCTGGCGGTCGGCGTCTCGCTGGCTTGCATGCTCCTTGCCAAGCTGCCGGACGTTTTTGGCTCGTACTTTGTGCAGGAAGGTGTGGTGTTTGAGCTCAAGCGGCTCGCTAGCTCGGACCTCGGCAGCCTCGGCACGCCTGCGGGCACGTGCTCGACATCCAAGTCTGCATTTGGCCAGGCCTCGTCGTCTGGCTCGAACAATGACAGCAAGAGTGGGACTGAGCAGGCCACAAGCAGGAGCGAGAACACTCCCACACTTCGCGAGTGGATTGCCACCAGCGTCTCGAGCGTTCTCGACGTCGTTGGCACGCTGCATGGCGCCGGCAGCGGGCACGAGCGAACGAGCCATCTGCGGGAGGTAGCTGCGAGCCTCAACAAGCTCCCACGCGACTCTGTTGGCGCTGCCGACCTGGGTGCGCATGTGGCACTTCGCAACGCGCTTGTCGACGTCGACGGTACAGGGACTGCGATGGTCACAACCTTTGAGATCATCTCGTCCGAGGTCATGGAGCAGTTGCTGGAGTACTTGACTGACACGGCGGTTGCACCGCAGATTGCGCTCGACCGGCTTGCGGTCTTTGCGCACGTGTGGGTCAACGCGCCGCGGCCTGCATCGGTGCCGGCCGACGCGCCGTCGCCGGCGACACCGCAACACGGCTACCCGATGCTGGTCCCGCTTGTGCGCAAGGTGCAGGAGGCGCTGTCCAAGGTCCAGACGCTTCCAGTCATGCTCCACTCACCCCCGGACGGCAACCAGGACCTGCGGATTCTGACGCAGTCATTCCGAGTGGCAGTTAGCCCGGGATCGTCTTCGCGCGAGGCAGGCCTCTCGTACACGGCATCGGAGCTTCTTGTCGAGCCGCTCGCACCGCTCATCTCCATTGAGGAGTTTGTCATCGGCAAGCTGCCGAACAAGGCCGTGGCCAAGGCCCGCGTGGCGCTGGGCGGGCCGAAGCAACTGCCGCCGGCGCCGGGCACCACCGCGCCGGGCATTCCGCGCTCGAGCTCCAACACTGCTGAGCTGCACATGCTCGGCTCGGAGGATGAGCCGCTGGCAGGCTCGTCGTCGGGCGCTGTTGTTGACGCCTCGGGCGCTTCGGACGACTACGAGTACGACGAGGATGAGGACGACGACGAGCTGGCCGGCTTTGGCGACGGTGGGGGCAATGATGAGGCCGGAGAGCACGGGGCGCAGGCAGTCATGGACTTGCTGGATGCAGCGCTAGCCACTCAGGCAACCTCGCCGAGCACGGCGGCGGCGGCGTCGGGGTCGGCATCGACCATGGCGGCGTCAAGCTCGACGAACGGCAGCGAGGGCCGGAACGAGACCGAGAGCGGCGAGCGGCTTGCGCGTGGCCCAGGCTTGGGGCGCAAGGGCGGTTCGCGCGCGCGGCCAACCAAGGGCAAGAAAAAGTCGAGCTCCGGCTACAATGTGGAGGAGTGGGGCGGCGGACTCGGCTCGACTGCATCTGCGGAGCCAGGCGCAAAGTATGCGGCCGAGAACGCGGTCCTTGTGCTCTCGCTCAACGGCAAGGAGCTCCCGCCGTCGACGACGGTCTTCCAAGCTGTGCAGGCGTTTGCGGTCGAGCGGGCTGGGAGCGAGGACAACTATGCGTATGACGACTCCGCCGAGATGCACCGTGCGCTGTGGGACGAGGTGTACACGTTTGAGTACCGGCTCAAGACTCGGGACGAGTACGCGGCATACGTGGCGGAGCAGAGCGCGGTGCTCCGGGCGGCAGACGACAAGGTGGCGCCAGCGTCGGTCGGCACGCCCAATGTGCTGCGGCGGGTCGGCACGCCGCGGTATGCGGGTGCGGCCGGGACACAGAAGCAGGCTGGTCGTGTCGGCACGTGGCTCTCGCCGTTTGAGCACATTGGGACGCCTCTGGCGGAGCTTGTGGGCGGGCTCTCGTCCTCCTCGCCGGCGTTTGTGCCGCTAGCGCTGCTCAAGCTGCTCCACACGATGGTGGTTCACATTCGCGAGCTGGTCGAGCGCGACGGAAGCGGGTACGACAGTCCCGAGGCGCTAACTCACGCCAAGCTCCAGCTGGCAGCGGTGCTCGACTCGGGCAGTGGTGTCGTGGCGAGCGGAGAGTTTGTTAACCAGGTTGTGACGGCCAAACTCGAGCGGCAGATGCAGGATCCGCTGACGGTGACCTCGGGCGCGTTCCCGTCGTGGGTGACGCAGCTCATGGCGGGCGCGCCGTTTGTCTTTCCGTTTGCGACGCGCAAGCAGTTTCTGCACACGACTGCGTTTGGCGTGGCGCGCGCGCTGCTGCAGCTGCAGGAGAACTCGGGTGCGACGGCCTCGTCCGGCCGGAGCAACTCGGTCATGGTCGGGCGGATCCAGCGGTCCAAGGTGCGGATCTCGCGCGAGACCATTCTGTCATCGGCGTTCAAGGTGCTCGAGCTGTATGCGGCGTCCAAGTCTGTGCTGGAGATCGAGTACTTTGGCGAGTCAGGGACCGGACTTGGGCCCTCGCTCGAGTTTTACACCCTTGTGTGTGCCGAAGTCCAGCGAGCGGACCTGGAGATGTGGCGGACAAGCGAGAGCAAGGACAACAAGTACGTTGTCGCGCCACACGGGCTCTTCGCCAAACCGTTTGACTGGCGCAAGGCCGAGGCTAGCGGGCCGGGGAGCACCGCGGCGGCGGCCGGCGAGCGGCTGCTCAAGCTCTTCAAGTTTATGGGGTGGCTGGTGGGCAAGGCGCTGATGGACTCGCGGCTGATTGACCTGCCGTTTGCACCCGCGATGTACAAGGTGCTGCTGGGCGCGCCGCTGGCGGCGGCGGACGTGGCGCTGTTCGACCCGGTCTTTGCAGCGTCGCTTGAGCCGCTGATGCGGGCGGCCGAAGCCGTGGCCAACGGCACACCGGCAGACAAGGTCACGGTCGACGACCACGGCACCCGGGTTGAGGACCTGTTCCTCGTCTTTGAGCTGCCTGGCGCGCCGGGCTTTGCGCTCGTCGACGGCGGGTGCGAGATGGAGGTGACGACCGCCAACGTGGGCCAGTATGTCGACGCGGTAGTCGATGCCACCATTGGCAGCGGCGTCCGGCCGCAGCTCGACGCGTTCCTGGCCGGGGTCAACGACGTTTTTGACCTTGCTGCTCTCGCCGGCTTTGACGCCCGCGAGCTCGAGATCATCCTCATGGGCACCGACGAGCCGTGGACAGCCGCTGACATTGCCGCGCACACCGTAATCGAGCACGGATACGAGGCGCACTCACGGATTGTCAACGACCTCTTCGACGTCCTCGCCTCGTTTGACGACAACGAGCGACGGCAGTTCCTCAAGTTCATGACCGGCTCGCCGCGGTTGCCGTACGGGGGTTGGGCCGCCCTCGACCCGCCGTTTAAGATTGTGCGCAAGACGGCAGCTCAGCCCGACGCCTACATGCCGTCGACCATGACGTGCCTCAACTACCTTAAGCTCCCCGAGTACTCGTCGGCCGAGGTGCTGCAGGCCAAGCTCCGCCAGGCCATGACCGAGGGCCAGTCTGGTTTCCTGCTCTCGTAACTTTGGAAGCTTTGCCCATCGCTGCCTGTTCTTGACTTTGTTACACCCCCCTTTGTGGCTGACGAAACGAAAGCACTCTGTTCTTCTTCCGCTTTCTCCCCCCAATTCTGACAACCCTACTGTGGGTATTCGCTTTTCTCCCTTTTTTTGGTACGTACTCTTGCAAGGCTCCCAGAGTGCCGAAGCGTCCTGAGTGCCCTTCAGCAACAGGAGAAGGCCTTTCTGACCTACGACAACCCATCCGGCAGCAGATAGCTTGCTCTATGGGCGGGCGGACGTGCTTTGCTGCCCAACTGTGCCTTCCTTTGCAAGGTGGGGCGGCTGCCGCCGAGAGGCAATTCCAACGCTCGTTTTCATCCGTACAGCCGGCAGCTTGGGGCAGTCATGTGGCGCTTTTCCATGCACAAGCGGCCATAGCGCTTCTTTAAGCACATGCTGTAGCACAAACGCAGATGCCGCATCTTTGGAGCACAATGGCTTTGGCCCTCTGACACACGTTGTGGCATGGGGGCATGAGGTTGGCCGCGTGGGGCATGTTTTTGGCTGGTCGCGATCGTCACGCGTGACCCTTATTTTTTTTCAGGCTGCCGCTACCCGCGGGCATCTTCCGTCGCCGCCCTTCTCGAGATCATACTCACTCCCTCCCTTCCTTCTCCCCCCCCCTTCCTTTACGAGAGCAGCCATCATGCGGATCTCGCTCAAGCTTCTGCTTGTAGTTGTGGTCATTGCCGCATTGGCTTTCACGCCCACCGACGCGTGCTCGCGCCGTCGCCGCCGCCGCCGTCGTCGCCCGCCTCCGACTCCGCGCCCTGCCAGCCCCCCTCCGCCGCCGCCGTCGC